AATAATAATAATAATAATAATAATAATAATAATAATAAAGAAGAAAAAAAAACAATATATATCAAATCAAAATAGGTTTTAAAGACAATAAAATGACAAAAAAGGAGGATGTACGGAAGAATTCTATGTATTAAGGAAGAATTCTATGTATTAAGGGGACAACAAGTCAACAACACTCTTTATGAAATTTCTTCGTATACTCCTTTTTTTTGTTGTTTTGTTTTCTTTTAACCCAATTTGATTTGATATATTTTGTTTTTTTGTTATTTTTTTTTGTTTTATTTTTTGTTTTGTTTTGTTTTTGTTTTGTCTTTTATTAAAACTAAAATTATTAAATAATAATAATTATTATTATTATTGTTATTATTATTATTTTAAATTAATTAATTTGATTTGATGTCTCTTTAACTTTATCTTCTTTTTTATATTTCGGACTATCATTGTGTTATTTTTTTTGTCTAACCTATCCTTGTGCTAAAAGAAAAAATTACGAACAATTATATGTATATTTGTTTGTGGGTTTTATTTAACGGCTATGGAAATAACAAAATTATAACAATACATAGTTCGAAATTAAAAGATAACACATGGATAGTCCCAATGAAAAAAAATAACACAAGAATATTCTAAACCAAAAAAATAATAGTAGTATGTATTTATTAAAAATATTAAAAATAAAAAAAAACAAAAAAAAAACAACAAAAAGATTAAAAACAAAAAGCAAAAAAAGTCGAAACAAAAAAAAAAAACTTTAAGAAACAAAAAAGAAAGGTAAAAATAGGAATTTTGAGTGCATACAAAAACCTCTTTACAAAATGATAATGCAATTTTATATTTTAGTATTAAATATGAAGCCCAAAATGCGAAATAATTCTGTTAAAATGTCGAAAAGTTCATTTCGTAAATTAAAAAAATAATAATCACAAAATGATCATTATGAATGAACTATTTACAGAGAGACCACTTTATAAGCTATAGAAAAAATGACAATACATTTTGCAACTAGGACCATTGCTAATTGAGAAATACTGAAATGTTGGTCACCACTACTTAAAGCAGCGTTATTTCGAAATTCTGGCATACCATTACATTTGGCATTTTGGTGTTCATGTTGTATTAACGATGGAAACCATTCATTTAGGTTAAAGTTTGGAGTTTAATTTGATTACTTAATGATTACAAGTATTTGGACACTAAGCCTGACGTTTGGAGTTATTTCCACACGAAATGAATCATTACAAATGATTTTCTATGCAACTAATGGTTTTAGGAAAAAGGTTTAGATCGAAAACCTTGATATTTTGAGGTTTTCTCTCATCATCACCACTCGTACATTCATAAGGTGACGTTTGATAACAGGATCCATAACTTAAGCATATTGTATGTGTAGCCTTTGATAAAACTAGGACCGTATGACATAATAGAACAAAATATTAAAATTACCGGATTACCCTTCATATAAAATAATATAAAACAACTATTAACATCAACATCACTTCAAAACTACCAATAGTACCCCTAAATCAAATCTTTGGTAACAAAATCATTGTTTATTTTCTTTAGATTGCAATAATCTTCGTGAGAAATTATTTTGTACCATTTTAGCTGCAATCGACTCTCAAAGAACAAAGTTATTGACGTTTTGCTGGTACTATATATCAACCATCACAAGCTTTGTTGGTGATTGCATCATATGGGTTTCCTTTATTTTTTTCTTGATTTTGGAATTAAATTTCTTTTTCATAGATTTTTTTTTTCTTATTATTATGTGTGATTTACCTTAAATTGTGGTGCGCCTTCATGGGTTGTGACTTGTCTTAGTGTACTTAAGGAGAATTTAATAGCACCCATTCATGATTTGTTTTTCGGTTTGTTGGATTCATACATAATTTTGTTTTGTAAAAGTCATGGTTGTTTTAATTTGTTGAAAGATAATCACAACAAATCATCACACTTTGTTTTCATCTTTATGTGAGATATGTATAAGGGATCTTTTTTGTCATTTTACTTTCGATTCAACTTGTTTCACCCTTTTGGGTGGATTAAAATTCAAAGAGTTAGTTCCATTTGACTTATGTTCCTATTGGTTATTGGTTTGTGGAATAAATAATTCTTGTTAGGGTTTTATATTGCATTTACAACTATAAATAATACAAAGATTTACATACAGGCTCTTTTACTATATATATAATATGAAAAGTAAACTAAACTATACAATATGCTTTAACAGTTTCAAGCGCAATTTAAGATGTTTTTGTTCTATTCTGTCTGTCTCATTCATGTACCAAACACTACCTAAATGGCAAAGAGATATACATATGAGGGACTTTAGTACCATTGACGAAGATTAGGGGCTGTTTGTTTACCTCTTAATTGAAAAATTAAAGACATCGTCTTAAAATATCAGATGTGGGGTGTTTGGTAACATCTTATAAAATACCTCAGAATTGAATAATAGCCTCTTAAAAAATCAGACATCAACCCACATCTGAATTAAAAAAAAAGACGCTTGTGCCCAAGAAAAAACCACGCCTCTTTTCCTTTCTTTATTGTAAGCGCCTCCAGTTTCTTTTCTTCTCATCAGACATCGGCGCCACTTCTTTCTTGCACCCCTCCTCCTCCATCTCTGATCCCGTCTGCTATCGCTGTTTTGCCTGTGCCGCCTTCGCCTTGGGCTTCGACAGCTCCGCCTCCAATATCTTCTGCAGCTAATGTTTTCCTTTTTCTCTTCCTCTTTAATTCGAGTTTAATGCTTGAAAATCGAGTATGATAGCTGCTTCCCCTCAAAATCGAGCACATAGCTTCATTTGTTTTCTTTTACTAAATTCAGATGCTATTTGAAAATCGAGTTTATAGAGATTTTTTTTTTCTGAAAATAAAGCACAAAGCTTCGTTTGTTTTCTTTCTCTTTTTCTAGTCATTAATGCAGGTTTATGTTTACATGTATAAATTGAAAAGATGAAGGTACATGAGTTCACTCATTGAAGCTCTTATGCATACCAACTGTTTGTGAAAAGTCGTGTGAGTTTCATCAATGTATATTTTGTGAAGATCCCAGACAGAAAATGCCCTCATCTTTGACCTCCAATGGTCTAACAACAAAAACCCAGGTCCATAAATCACAAGCATCATCGTTGGCTCACATATGGAATAGACCATTTGGTGAAGAATAAAAAGATGACAACATCAGTTGACTTTGAAGTTGTACACCTTCAAAGGACACACTTTTGCACAATGGCTTTTTAATCAAATCATAAATGCCCATCAATAATTTTGGTGTATGAAATAGGTCTTTGGTTCAGAAATTCAAAGACATTTGGTTTCAAGACACATGAGATTGGTGGTTGTGTTTTTTTTTTCTATGGATTAAAAGAAGTGAATTTGTAAAAATTTATGTTTACTTTGGTTATATTGTACGATGTTTATGTTTCCATGGATTGAAAGAAGTGAATTTGGACGAATTTAGGTTTATTTTGGTTATAGCACAAAATAGAACTATATATAAGGGTAAAATAGTCATTTTTATCATTCAAATAATAATTCAGATGCTCCAACCAAACAGTATGTTAAAAATTCAGATCTTAAAAATTCAGACATCTTAAAAGTTCAGATCTTAAAAATTCAGATCCTGACAAACAGCCCCTAAGGTGTATGTCTATGCATATCTTTTGTAAGGCCATGCATTAATTTGTACATTCGTATGTAGGAGTTGTAAGGCAGTATGGCCATGGATCAAAGTTGTAAAAGGTCGTACGAGGCATGACAAAAAGATTTGGGGGAGATTTTTATTTGAGAGTGCATCCTCATACGTGATTTTTTGTGAGTTTGTGCATGAAGGAGAACCTTATGCAATATGGTTACATGTTCAAATAGATTAGGGGTGTGTGATAATACTTTTCAAGGTCTTACATTATTTGTTTATGGCCGTGCATCAACCTTATACCCCATTATACTTTATTTTTCAAGGTCGTATGAGCCCTTTAATTGGGAAATTTATAAGTAGATTTACTTGTAGAGTTTCACGGGTGTCATACTTAATTTTTATGACTTATAGGCGATCAAGGGACATTTTAAAGAAGTCAAGAAGCTTCATTCACAAGCTACTGAAGTCCCCATCGCCCATGCAGTTGTCAAGCCAGAAAAGAGTGTTTCTACCAAACCTAATTTTTGATACAAAAAGTAGCCGATAAACAGATACCTATGTTGTCGAGGGCGGCAATTGTCTTGGTGATATTCAACCACACGTCTGGAATGGATTTTTTTTTGAAAGATTCGACACCGGCTTCCTGTCAAGGTTGTGAGTCCCACAAATAACCTTACGCCAAAGGGCATTTGTGTCCGATTTAAAGCGCCATATCCGCATAAACAACAAAGCCCAATTAAGAGCAATCAACGACCCGATTCCAAGCCCTCCCTTCTCCTTTGGCCCTAAAGCAATCTTCCAAGCCACCCAATGGATCTTGTTTTTTCTCCCCAAATAAATCGCAGTTCTCTTTTAAATTGATAATGGAAATGGGTGCCTTGGAAATCAAGAAAAAATAAAGGGGCAATGAACTCCAACCCCAAGTAGCGAATATCAAACTTTTTAGCAAACATCAGCATTGCAAATCTAAAAACCTATATATTTTGGCTTGGCAGGAAAAGAAGGAGCTTCTATTGTATTTTCGAAATCCACTTTTTCTCTTTGTAGCAGGGTAATACCTGAACGAAGGTCAAGACTCACCTCTGAATCAATGGAAGATGATGCAAAATCCATTTGAAGGCAAACTTCTAGCATCATGTGAGCAACACATCCATGGAAAATAAGTTGCATTCAAGATATCACTACCAACGACCAAAATAGATGGGAGTGACCTCGATGAAGGAATAGACACCGTCCAAGATTGATTATACTTATATTCAGAATTCAAAGATGACGAAGATTTAGTTGACTAATAAAAGTTGTATTTTGTTTTCTAGTTTCCTTTAATTGTACTTTTACCCCGTCGTTTTAAAATATTGGGCTGGAGTTAAATTTAAATTGCAAAAAAAAATACAAAAATACAAAAATACAAAAACCGGACAATCTGGTTTGGAAACACTGGTTTATATCCGATCGTAATCGGGTTACACCGAATCCTATATGACTCATGTAGTCATGTGGACCTCTAGGAATGATAAGAGTAACCATTTCATAACTTCTGTAAACTAGGAATTATGCGTCATCGTAGACATGTTTATTGTTAGTCTGTCGTCAAATTGGCTAATGGAGTTTAATCTAAAGTACACTGGACATGCTAAATGATATCGTCATTGTTTTTAATCTTCAATCAAATCATCTTTCAAGTGTTTACACCCCTCCAAGGCTCGAACCATTCCAATAAATTGAAAAAATGGAGACTCCATTAAATCTTAAGAAAACTACATCCAAATGAAACATGAATACCGAGATATTGATATGACATTTAACATGGTGTATAGATCAGAGTTACCGGTTACCAATGTGCAGACGCTACTTTTGCACAATGTGCGACACAATCCAGTAGATCTGTTAACCACAAGATTTAGATAACATATGTAGTAAAAATTGAGGAGAAAATAAGAGACTTACAATGTTATTGTGAGGAGATTTCCAGTAGAAACCTTGGATCATAATGACAACCAAGTTTGATGTGACAAGAATAAAAATGCTTAAAGAATGTTTTCCCATCCATTCAAACACAAACGCTGTACGTGTCCATCTGTATACATCCACCTGTAAATGATTTACACGTGTTAAAATAACTACACCAAACCAATGGGGGGTTTATTTTGATATTTTGATATTTTGATTTACCAGTAAATATAATGCACAAAATGTGAGTCCTGATGCTGCTGAAGTTACCAGAAGGTAACTCAATGTGTACAAGCCCTTGTTCAAAGGAATACCTAACAAAACCCAAAAAAGTTAATAATATTCTAAAACATTATTTGGAAATTGAAAACTAAAAGCATATATAAATATATGTACCTATGAGAGCAAGTATGGATCCGAGAATTAGAAATGAAACTGAGAGGAGGGACCAGTTGCAAAGTCGATCTTTATGCCCCTGCAAAAAATTCGGTCAACCAAGATTTGACCAAGGAAAATACTCTAAAATATAAATGAAATTCACACCTGAAATTCAATCAAAATATGACCATATTGAAGACCAATTATGCAGGCCAAAGAAGCTGTTAAGGAACTGCATTCCAACTGTCATTCATTAGCTGTACAAGATTCAATCACAATTTAAACAACTGATTTTGAATTCACAAGTTTAAATAATTAGATATATTACATACATTCCTGTATGCAATTTCATGTAGATTTCAAAATTGAAAGATAAATAACTTACCTTAAGATGCCTTCGGGTTCAAAAGGGGCATAGCACCATGAAGGTGAAGATTCTGAAACTTGACCACTCTTAGATATATTACATACCTGTACGCAAATTATATAATATTATATACATACAATACATAAACAATAATCGATTGCATATATAATATATGAATTTCGTATTATATACCTTGAGGTTTCTGTAAGCAGGCTTTTGATATAAATGATCAATGCCAAGAATATATCTGTCTATCATTCCAGCAGCATTGCAAGCAGGCCCAAGATCACCTCTAACAGAACATGTCACCTATAGTCAAGATAGATGTGATTTATTTGAAGAAAATAATAATTTATATTTTGGGTTTAAGAGAGTGGGGTCATACAGTACGGATTGTACTTCCATTTTCAGAAATTAAAGAAGATAATGAATGCAAGTCCTTGAATTGCCAATCTGCAACGTACAACCCATATGTCAATCCCATGTAGATGGCCAACAACAAAATTACACCACACCTACACCAATAACATACTTAGTTTCAAAAGGGTTTATTCACCAAGTCAACATGTCTATTTGCTTACCATTATTTTGAAGAAACTGTAAGAATATTATTAATATAGATGATATCATATTATATGTTATTTTTGATAGCAATTAAACTGCTATTATAGAAGACATATATTTTTTTCTCATTAAGTCTTCTATGGGTAATGATGTCTGTCTGGATATAGTGTTGTATACATAAGTTCTGCTTCTTTTTTAGAGTGAATAAACCGTTCGACTGAGACTAAATGACCATTTTGTCCTTATATTCCAGCAAACAATTTTCACAATATTAATCAATTTTAGCCATATTCATCAACTTTAATGTGAGAGAAGTCAGGAGGAAAAAAGAAGAGGGGCAAATAGGTAAAGGGCTGGTGTCTTAATACATTAAGCCAAGTTATTTGGCTTAACCCATTAAGTTGTTTTGTCCATATTAAGTCAGAAAGAAACATTCATGTATCAGAGGTCAGATTATTACAAGTTAAATAATCATCAAATCTAACAAAAGATTGAGAGTATCAGTTCTCACCAGTGCCAAATATAAACCCTGAAGAATGGCTCTTTCTTGTAGGTTTGACGGGGAATCCAAATTTCAAACAGTGCTGCAACAATGTATCCAATTGCTATCCTCTGAAATGATGACAATAATTGGAAAAATAAGAACTCATTAAGATACATTCCGTAATTGTAATGGTGAATTGATGAGAAGAATTAGATGAAAAATGATAAGACATTGTAGTGTGTGAAGGTATTGACTATTGATTGGTCAAAGTCAACGACACCTGTAGGATGCCAAGCAGCCGTATTTTCTCAACATCAACTCCATATGTTAATGAAGTAATCCCATGTAGGTAACCACCTTGAAGAAAAACACCAAGAAGAAAAAGTTTCATTGCTCTTACTATTGCTTTCCACGTGGCTTCATATCTGTTTGGAATTTTCTGATGTTTAAGAAAGATAAAAGAGCGCTTCAGTTTCAAGTTTTCAGTTATTTGACTTATTTCCATTATAAAATCAAAGACACACATACATATATTGCTTAATCTAAACATTGTGTAATAAATAATTTACAGGTTAATGGCAATGATTAATCATGTGATATGATTGTCTTTCAACCAACCCCTCACAGAGTACCTAAAATTTGGTGATGGTTGGAGTAACTTTGAGGTCAAGCATCATTCAACTAAAGCTAGTTAATAATTATAGAGTTGAATATATTTATCATTAGAAATACAGTTCTACAGGATATGTTTATTCACCACCTTGTATACAATCGCAAGAGATACTCCAGCAGTGAAAAGGAACATAGGCATGACAAAATCTGCTAAGTGTAAGCCATTCCATGGGGCATGAGCAATAACTGGTAAACTAGAGCCAGCATAATCCACAAGCACCATAAGCTGAAAACAAGTAACAAACCATATTTAACTGGTAGCATATATGATTCAGGACACACACACACACACACACAAAAAGAATAAGAGAAGGATGCAATAAATAAGATCTAATGCACTTTTTTAAGCATTATTCTAACATCTAATTTCAAGGTTTGCTACTCATCAACCAGTTAAAGTCTAAAACAGGTAAGGCAATCTGTATCTTGGATTTGTAATGGATATGTTTGAGAGCTCTATCTAAAGCAATACCAGTTAATTAAAACTTTGAGCTGAATGAGGTCCACATATCCGAAATTTCAAATATAGTATTTATCTGAAAGACTGTTATGGCTCTAGGTGTTTCATCTCAATTGAGTTATTCAGTGTTTCATCTCATTTGATTCGATTTGTTTGTTTCTAAAAGAGAACACAGGGTCCCTATATAAGTACAAATGCATTGTCCTATAACGAACTCCAATTGAAGTGAATTAACTAAAAAAATTAAGCAAAAATGAAGCCATTAATCTCGGTAATCGCTGTCAAGTAAATTATAAAGTAAAACAACATCAGTCGAGTTGAACTTAACAGGTGATCATAGGCCTGAACTTAACGGTCAAGTAAAATTCGAAAATCGAGAGAGAATCGAATCAAACAAGATAACATATGGAAAAACTTACGAAGATCGAGAGTCCGCGAAAAACATCAAGTGAAGCGATTCTACAACTACTTTTCTTCTCTGCAGCGATCAGGTGTTGCTGGTGCTGTAATTCTTCATCATCGTTCAGTAACGGCTGGAAATCTGCCATTTTGCGTCTGCAATTTAGAGAAGATTTTGATAAAAATGCCGACATATGAGCTACTGAATGATTAAATGAAAGAATTCCAGAATTGGACAGGAGATCTATTTGACATTATTTGACCAATTATTTGGTAAAGATATTGGTGATTCGATTCGAGTACGAATGAAATGGAGGGTTATTATGGAAGGATGTGCTCTTACGTGGACCAATCAACGGTTTCCGTACGCTTCCCGAGTAAACGGTCCGGTTTTTATTGGCATCACGAATCATTTCGATTCAAACATGAACCGATTTTGATGTAACCTTTTGAACCGTTGGTTTTTGTTTGGTTTCTTCATTTTGATGCTTTTAAATAATAATAATAATAATAAACTATATATTTTAATTTATTACTATCACTTTTTATATAAGGGGTGTCAAAATTGTGAATATCCTCGATCTATGAGAGTATTCATGTATAACGTTTATATCATAAATTAAACTTTTTTTTTTCTGAATAATTCAAGTGTATTAGGCCTTCACATATGAAGCCATGTTGATGTTGGCACCCATTTGAGCCAAGCAAGGTGCAATCTCCACTAAGGTCCGTTTGATAGTTTCTGTCTGGAAAAATGCTGTCTGGTAAAGTGTTGTCTGGGAAAGTTTTCTGACTGGGAAAGAAACCATGTTGTTTGATTGTACATCTGATTGACTGTGCTGAATGATGAAAAAAAGTAATAATTCAATAAAAAATATAATTAAAAAAGTTATTTAAAAAATTAATAATCCAATAAAGAAAGAAAGAGGCGGGGTTTGGTGTATAATTGTCTTTCCAGCCCATTCAGCCAGAAAGATATGATTTTGGGGCTTTCTGGGAAAGACATATCTTACCGGGAAAGACCCCTTCTTTTGTGTAAATCAAACAGTCTTTCCGGTCCATTCAGCCAGAAAGATCTGTTTGGACCTGGAAAGATGCGTATCAAACGGGGCCTAAGTTTACCTCCCATTACGTACGTGCCCATGACACATTATACAAATCATAATGTATTTTTGCATTCCCCTTTGTTACTTTGTGTCACCATACCAAATATTAATAAAGGATGTAACTTCACGTGCTTTCCATCGTGCTTTTATGTCAATTTTTTTTAAAAGCAGACAAAACTGTAAGATTGGTCTCTGTGGTATTCAAAAAACTTTGGATGAGATCTAAAAAGTTTTCAACTTGCATGTAAGGTCTAAAATCAATGTTTTTCTAGGTTTTTGGTCCAAAAAAACTTAAAAAGACAGTTATGCCATTTTAATTTCTTTTTTCCTTTTTTTATGAGTATTTTAATGCTATTTTGATTTAAAAAAAAAGAATTTTCCACCCTCACCCCCATGTATTCTCTCTCTCTTTCTCTCTCTCTCTCTCTCTCATCTCCTCTCTCTCTCCATCTCTCTCCTCTCTATATATATATATATATATATATATATATATATATATATATATAGAGAGGAGAGAGAGAGAGAGAGAGAGAGAGAGAATACATATCAGGAAAAAAAAGAATTTTCCTTCTCTCTCTCTCTCTTTCTCTTTCTCTTTCTTTTTCTATCTTCTTATTCCTCATTTATCAAATCAGGAAAAAAACCCAAATTTTTTGTTACTTTGCTACCAAATTATACGCACAAGGAGACCCCCAAAAAACCAGATTCTTCAATTTTTTTTGCCCAACTTCAAAAAACCACATTTCTGTTCTTCAAGATCAAACACACAGTCACACACATACACTCCACCTTTGAATCTCGAGCTTCAGTTCAGACTTTTTTATCCTCGTCTCTTTATCTCTCTCCCTCGCACGTGTTTCTCCCTAGCACTAGATCAAATTTCCCTCTTCCCTGATATTGTAATCGCAGGTGAGTAGTGTTCCCTCATTTTCAGTTCCAACTCATTAACACGTATTCATCCGTATGCACTTCCAAGTGACAATTCAAGAACCACACACCTGTATTATCTGCTCAAAATCGAATAGAAACCCAACCACCAAAAGGCACACCAATCGTATTCCTTTCAAGAGGGTCAATAAGGTTAAACTTCTTCTGATCTATCTTTAATGAATGCAATACCGATTGAAATTCTGGTTTCTAGGTGGCTCTCACTTCCCAAAGTTCTCCAACTCAATGGCTTAAACAAACAGAGGATTCGTTACAGCTTCATCTCTATTAGATGCATACTGATTTGTCACCCAAAAACAAAACAATTGGTGTGTGTTGTAGTTGGATGTATGCTTTTGGAAGTGCAAAGACGATCCCGTGTTTTAGTTGTTGGAAGAACTTGTGATGCTTCTTTAGTTCAATTCATTGAATTCTTGAACTTAGAGATGGAATCTAATGTGGTTTGTGTGAACTCATTCATCTGGGTTTTTCCCCCTTTTGAATTTGTCTTCCTCGACATTCAATTTGTAATTTTGTGGGGGTTTTTTTAGTTTGAATTAAGGTTCGATCTGTAGGTTTATTTGTTGGTGTTTCTGTTCTAGTGATTGCCAAATGGTGTTCTATAAGTTCTTGGTCGAAATTGGATCGGAGAAAATAAGATATTCGAAGGAAGACAGTCGTCCAGAGGAAAGGAAATAGAGTGTGGGATGGGTGACCTAAAGAATTGAGAGAGTGAGAGAGAGAGAGAGAGGGTTGAGTGAGATTTTATTTTTTATTTTTTATTATTTAAATACGAAGATAAATAAAGAAAATAGAAAAAAGAAATAAAAAGGGTAAAATCGACTTTTCAAGTGTATCAAGGATCAAAAACCCAGAAAAACCTTGATTTTGAACCTTCCACGCAAGTTGAAAATTTGTTGGACCCTATCCAAAGTTTTTTGAATACCACATGGACCAATCTTGTAGTTTTGTCTTAAAAGTATGTGAGGTTAATTAGACAAAATAACAACTTATTGATTTAAATAGGGAAATTTACAGAAAAGCCCTAAAATTTTAGTCCAATTTATGAAAAAGTCCCAAACTAAATTTTGTTTAAAGAAAAGCACAGAATACCGGTTAAAATTTCGAAAAAACCCTTTTCGGCCGGTTTCGCAGATTTTGCCGGTATTCTGTCTTTTTTCGTTAGTTTGCTCAACATTTTGGGACTTTTTCCAAAAATTACCTGATAACCAAAATATTGAGACTTTTCTAAAAATTACCATAAAATTAATGGATATTATTATTAACAAATCATTTATAAACATAAAAAATATTTTTATTCTAAAAAAAGGAAATACATTTGTTGCTAATTTCTAGGAATAAATTGGTGGTCTAAGTACTTATCTATTGCTTGTTGACCACTCAAACTCTCTAAGTTCTTCCTATTCATTGTTGTGGGTATGATGGTGAGATGTACTTAGTTAGTGTTCCTCTTGTTGGATTAGTGTTTAAGCCTGTAACCATATTTGGTAAGTACTTGACCCAGTTGTGCATGGTCCTTTTGGGTTGCCTTCACCAAAGCAACTTGACTGGAGAAATAATAGAGAAAGAGGTTATTATGGTTTATTAATATATTATAAGAATAATATATTAAGAGAGAAATCATATTTTTTTAACTAACATTGATCAAGAATTAATTAAGAATTAATTTTGTGATCAAAAGAAGTTAATTGAACTAGATGACTGAACTGTAATTATGTGATAGTTGCAAAGTAAGGGAAAAGGATTCCCTATATGACAGGGTGGACGAATTCAAGGGGATAAGGCCTTAGAATTCGTCCATGATAAGGTTTCTAGGGTTATCCTTTGGGTTGCTTGGTGGCTAAGCAACCAGATAAGGATAAGGACTGAAACCCTAATTACTACACCTATATAAAGACCCTTGGCATAAGAAATTCGGTCACTTGATACCTAGGGTTCCTAGAGCCGAATTTCATACCTCCCCTCTCTCTCTCTCTCTCTTGCCTTTCCATTTGCTCTTGGTGTTTGTGAGTCATTAGAGGTACTACACTTGTGGTACTTGCTTTCAAAGACAAGAAGATTCAAGATACAAGTTGTTATTACAACATAACAACAAGAGGTATGTATTCCATTCTCCTTTATGATTTTCGAAATTACCTAGGAGCATGTTAGGTTTCTTTTGTGTTCATAATGTTGTATAACTAATCGTGAAAACATAGATCCGTATCTAGGGTTGCATGCACACATAGGATTGTTTGTATAAAACCCATCAGTGGTATCAGAGCTTTTTGGTTTTGTTTCATTTTAGATTTTATACAAAAGTATGAGTTTGACATATTAGGGTTTAATAGCAAATAAACCCTAAGGGCTTGATTTTCAAAAATTAGGGTTCCTAAACCCTAGATTTCGAAATTTGATAGGGTTTCCCAAACCCTTTCCTTAGCCTCCACAATTTCGAAGTTAGGGTTATCCAACCCTAGGGTTTCGAAAATTGCCTCCTTCCCCAGATAATTTCCTAAATTTTAGGGATTTGGATATCTATATCTTGTAATTATCCCTTTATTGTTTAATATCGTAATTAAAGATTTTTGAATTATCCCATCCCAATTTCGAATTTAGGGGATTTAAGGATTAGGTAAATTAATTGTAATTTAATAGATAATCTTTCAAGATTTAATAATTCAAATTAATTGTTTTATTTGGAATAATTATTAAATCAAAGTTTTAAATATTTAAAATTTTAAATTAAATTTTTAATTTTCAGAAATTTTAAATTTGATTAAAACCCTAATGATTTGTAATGTTTCAAAATTGCCCTTAAGTTTTGGAATTTAAATTTTAATTAAAAGTTTAATTTAAAATGTTAAATTCTAAAAACCCTAATTTTTGAAAAGTTCAAATTGCACCCTTATGATTTTTATTAATTAATAAGTGTATAATTAAAAAAGAATTAATAAACCATAATGATATGGTTTACATTTAATTAAGTAAAAGAGTAATTTTGTTAAATTAGACCACCTAGTATTTTAAAAGTATAAAATACACCTTATACTATATCAACATTTAAAAGGTTACCATCTATTATAGCTGTCATGAGTAAAGAGTCAGTTTCCCGTTCGTAGGCCTCATTCACGAAGCTGGTCTCTAAGGGGTGTTTAAGGAAATTGCCTATAAATGGCGATTGAATGGGTATCCACTCTTACCCACCGCACTCTTGACTAGTGGATGGTCGTTAGCCGAACGGGTAGGATAG